CCCCAGGACCTTGGGAATGGGGGTACCCCAGTCCTGGATCCCCCTGGGATGGGGGGATGGGGGTCACCCCTCATGGCCTTGGGAATGGGGATATCCCAGTCCGGAATCCCCCTGGGATGGGGGTGCTCCTGTCCCAGACCCCTCAGGGATCCTGGGGACGGGGGTGTCCCGATCCAGGGCACCCCAGTGATGGGGGGGGGGGGTCACCCCGACCCCTCAGAGCTTCGGGGACGGCGGTTTCCCAGCCCCAGCCCCCCCTCGGACCTTGAGCAGGGAGAGCCGCGACCTCAAACCCCTCAGGGCCTGGGGGACGGGGGTTGCGGGTCCCTCAGTGCCTCGAGGATATCGCGGCTGTGCCGCATCCCCTCAGGGCGGGGATGTCCCTGTTCCAACCCCCCCCCCCCCCCCCCCTCAGCCCCCTCAGCCTCGGGGTCACCCCCGCCCGCCCGGGCCGCCACTCACCCGCTGCCCGCGGCCTGGCCGGCAGCTGCACGAAGCGATTGAGGATCTCCCCGGCGCCATCGCCGCCGCCCGAGGGGCCCCCCGAGGGTCCCCCCGCGCCCTCCCCGAGCCCGAGCCCGGCCCGGGCCGCGGCCGCCGCCGACATAGCCCGGCCGTCCTGTGGGGGACGGGGCGCTCCGGCCAATCAGCGCGCGGCTTCTTGGGCCGCGACCTATCGGCCGCGCGCTTGTTGGCAGGTGCGAGAGCCGAGCGATCGATGCAGGACGGAGCAATAGAGCGCCGAGCGCGGCGGTGCGGGGACACTCGCGGGGACACCCGCGGGGACACTCACGGGGACACTCACAGGGGGACTCGCGGGGACGTTCTGGGAGTGGCGTCACCCCCAGAGCGCCCCGCGGGGTCCCCGAGGCCGCGCGGGGGTTGTCGCGGGGTGAGGGGGGGGGGCATGAGCGGCCCGGGCGGCGCGGGCGGAACGTTGTTGCGGAGGGCGGAACGTTGTTGCGGGGCCGCGTTTTCCCGGCCGGGCCGGCGGGTGGGGGGGGCGGGGTCGAGCCAAGATGGCGGCGCCCAGCGCCGGGGCGGCGGCGGCGGGGAGCCCCCGAGGGGGGGTCCCGGTGACCCCCCGGCACATCAGGGACCTCATCGGCCGCGGCATCGCCGCCGGAGGCACCGGGAACGGCGGGTGAGCGGCCGCGGGGGGCGCGGGGAAGGGGCCGGGGCCGGCGGTGGGCAAGGGGAGAGCGGGAAGGGGGGCGGGAAGGCCCCGCAGGGTGGGGGGGACCCCTCGCTGGGGGTCCCGGGGGAGAATTGGGGGGCCCTGGGACCCTCAGTGAGGGGCGGGGGGAGGGCCCTGAGGGGGGTTGGGGGGTTCCTCGGGGCTATTGGGGGGCCCGGGGAGCACTGGGAGGCACGAGGGAGACACTGATGTGCATTGGGGGGCACTGGGAGGAACTGGTGTGTACTGGGAGGCGCGGGTGTGCACTGGGGAACACTGGGGGACGCTGGTGTGTACTGGGAACACTGGGAGGCACAAGAGAGACACTGGTGTATACTGGGAGGCATTGGTGTGCACTGGGGAAGACTGGGAGGCACCGGGGGGAACTGGGGGACACTGGGAGTAACTGGGGAGCACTGAGGCAGTACTGGTGTGCCCTGGGAGGAACTGGTGCGTACTGGGAGGCACAAGGGAGACACTGGTGTGTACTGGGAGCACTGGGAGGCACAAGGGAGACACTGGTGTGCACTGGGAGCACTGGGGGCACTGGGAGCAACTCATGTGTACTGGGAGGCACTGGTGTGCACTGGGGAACGCTGGGGAGCTCTGGGGAGAACTGGGGGGCACTGGTGGGCACTGGGGAGCACTGGGAGCACTGGGGGAGACCGGGGTGTACTGGGGGGCACTGGAAGGCAGTGGGGTCACTAGGAGGCACTGAGGGAGCACTGGGAGCAACTGGGGGACACTGAGGCAGTACTGGTGTGCACTGGGAGCAACTGGTGTGTACTGGGAGCACTGAGAGGCACGAGGGAGACACTGGTGAGCACTGGGAGCAACTGGGGAGCACTGGGAGGCACTGGTGTGCACTGGGGAACACAGGGGGAGAACTGGGGAACACTGGGGAGCACTGGCAGCAACTGGGGAGCACTGGGAGCAACTGGGGGACACTGAGGCACTACTGGGGTGCACTGGGGGGCACTGGACAGACTGGTGTGTACTGGGAGCACTGGGAGGCACGAGGGAGGCACTGGGAGCACTGGTGAGCACTGGGATGAACTGGGGAACACTGGGAGACACTGGGGGACACTGAGGCACTACTGGTGTGCACTGGGAGGCGCTGGTGTGTACTGGGAGCACTGGGAGGGACGACGGGGGCGCGGGCGGGCAGGGGGGGGCACGGAGAGCACGGGGGGGAACTGGGGGGCACTGGAGGGAACTGGGGAACACTGGGAGGCACTGGGGAATATTGGAGGAACTGGAGAACACTGGGAGGCACTGGGGAGCACTGGGAGGCACTGGGGAACACTGGGAGGCACTGGGGGGAACTGGGAGGCAATGGGAGGAACTGGGGAACACTGGGACAAACGGGAGGGACACTGGGAGGCACTGGGGAGCACTAGGAGGCACTGGGGGGAACTGGGGAACACTGGGGGGAACTGGGAGATACTGGGGAACACCGGGAGGCACTGGGAGCACTGGGGAACGCTGGGATGAACTGGGTAATGCTGGGGGCACTGGGAGCACTGGGGCACAATGGGAGGCACTGGGGGAACTGGGCAGACTGGGAGCACTGGGGAACACTGGAGAATGTTGGGAGGCACTGGGAGACACCAGGAGGTGGTACTGGTGTGCACTGGGAGGAACTGGGAGGCACTGGAGGGCACTGGGAATACTGGGGGGCACTGGGGAGCACTGGGAGCATTGGGAATACTGGGAGGCACTGGGGAGCACTGGGAGCATTGGGAATACTGGGAGGCAGTGGGGAGCACTGGGAATACTGGGAATACTGGGAGGCACTGGGGAGCACTGGGAGCATTGGGAATACTGGGAATATTGGGAGGCACTGGGAGCACTGGGGAATATTGAGAGGCACTGGGAGACACTGGGAGGAACTGGTGGGCTCTGGGAGCACTGGGAATACTGGGGGGCACTGGGGAGTGCTGGGAATACTGGGGGACAGTGAGGCAGCACTGGGAGGCACTGGGAGGAACTGGTGGGCTCTGGGAGCACTGGGAATCCTGGGAATCCTGGGGGGCACTGGGAGCTGAGCCCTGGAGGTGTCTCATTCCCCCTTTTCCCAACTATCCCTGGATTTTCCCCTCGGAAGGGGGTCGGGAGAGGCCAAAGGGCAGCCCTTGGAATTCCAGCCCTTGGAATTCCAGCCCTTGGAATTCCAGCCCTTGGAATTCCAGCCTGGGACCCACATTCCAGCCCCAGCTTTGGGATGTTTGGGATCCCTGAGATTATTCCTCAACCTGCCCTGGCTGAGCTGGGACAACAAATCCCTGTTTTCCCTCCTTTTCCCATCAAATTCCACCCGGGAACGTTCAACCCACCCTTGGATCTGTATATTTTAATTGGTTCCATTATTAATTAAGGAAAATTTGGGAATTGGGAGCTCTGGAGAAGATCCCTGTTGGGATAACCCCGAGGGATGAGGGGCTGGGAATTCCTTGGGTTCTAAATCCCTTTTGTTAAGGATTTTTTTCCCGGGATTTTCCCTGTTTTTTTTCCCCCTTCAGGAAGGACATTTCCGACCCGTCGGAATCGGCCAACGGCTCTTCCCAGATGGAGGAGAATTCCTTGGAATCTGCCAGCAGGGAAGCCTATTTCAGCAGGGTGGAAACCTTCACCATATCCTTTGGGATGCTCCCCCTTGGGAATCCTGGAATATCCTCATTCCCACAGGGATCAAACCCAGCCCTTGGCCCTTCCCAGCCCAAAATCCCTGGGAGCGTTCCCAAATATTCCTGGAGCTCCCTGGGGTCGTGACCATTCCCTGGGGAGCTGCTCCCGTTTTCCCACCATTATTCCCTATTTATCCCACCATTATTCCCTATTTTCCCACCACTCCCATTTTCCCACCATTATTCCCTATTTTCCCCACCATTATTCCCTAATTTTCCCACCATTTTTCCCACCATTATTGCCTATTTTTCCCACCATTCCCTATTTTATCCCACCATTATTCCCTATTTTTTACCCATTATTTCCTATTTTTCCCACCATTCCCTAATTTTCCCACCATTATTCTCTATTTTATCCCACCATTATTCCCTATTTTTCCACCATTCCCTATTTTTTCCCACCATTATTCTCTATTTTTCCCACCATTATTCCCTGGTTTTCCAACCATTGTTCCCTATTTATCCCACCATTATTCCCTGTTTTATCCCACCATTATTCCCTATTTTCCCACCACTCCCTTTTTCCCTCCATTATTCCCTATTTTTTACCCATCATTCCCTAGTTTTTCCATCCTTACTCCCTGTTTTTCCCACCATTCTTCCCTGTTTTTTACCCATTATTCCCTAATTTTTCCATTACTCCCTATATTATCCCATCATTATTCCCTATTTTATACCACCATTATTCCCTATTTTCCCACCATTTTTCCCTATTTTATCTTGCCATTATTCCCTATTTTTCCCACCACTCCCTATTTTATCCCCCCATTATTCCCTATTTTATCCCACCTTTATTCCCTATTTTGTCAACCATTTTTCCCTAATTTTCCCACCATTATTCCCTCATTTTCCCACCATTATTCCCTATTTTTCCCACCATTATTC